TTCCATGTTTAATGGTCCCTTAATCTCCCCTTCACATTTTAACAATTATGATTAAACCATTAGTTATGTGGTCTGCATAACCATTTAAAGCAAATTCATAGCAATTACATCACATTATTAAGAGCCACGCTCTATGCAGGGTTCCTCAAATCTAGCCTTGGAGGGCCAGAGTTTAGCTCCAACCCTGATCAAACTCACCTACCTGTGATTTTCTAATGATCCTGAAGACATTGATTAGCTTGCTCAGGTGTGTTTGATTAGGGTTAGAGCTAAACTCTGCAGGAAAGTGGATCTCGTGGGCCAGATTTGAGGATCCCTGCTCTATAGTAAGACCACTAATCCAGTCACTTGGACTCAGCTGACGTAAAATGGGTGGAAATACACAGACAATCACTGATATACCCCAAACACCCTGCCCTATAACCTGCCTTGTATTTTTTAAAACAAGTGCCAATCTAAATTTGTAAAATAAATTTAAATCATATTTGAATTGATTTCCTTATATGTGCATGTTGCATATTTAAATAGCAAATTTGAATATTTATCCTATGCAAATTTATTTTTCTCTTAATTCAGTGGCATTCAAAACACGTACATAAATCTGCTATTTACACACAAGTCTTTTAAATGGATTTCTTTATTACAGACTGTTCTGTTTTGTAATAGCATAGATTACTTTTTTCAGGTCTAATGTAAACACAAAAAATAAGAAATCTAAGATCTTCCTAGAATGAAACAATAATTTAATCTTGCTCTGTTAATCTGAAAATACAAGACCCCAGAGCATGCAAAATAACATTAGATCTACTGTAACGGAATTAGTTATTGTTCCTTATTATCAGAGTGGTTTTTTTCAAGCACCATTGCAGGAAATTCCCTGAAAATCCTATTGAACACACATTTTAATTTCATTTTTGTATTTTAATCGTGTTGAAGGCAGCGTAAATAATCCAATGGGATTAGGTCATGTTTTTTTTTTTTTTTTTGTCTTTTCAAATACTTTCATTTTGGGCTCTTAAGAAACCATCTATCACTGTTGTAACAGAATGAGCAGAGACTATTGACGCAAAAGCAATTACAACTACAAATTTAACTGTACCACCACATACTGAACAGAAACAAACCTCCTTGTATGGTCACATTTAATCATACTGTATATATGTCTTGCGTGGACTACATATATACAATAATTTGAGGATAAATTGAAGACATTTCTCGCTGTCCAGATGTTCTTGTAATCCAACTGAAGATTTAAGAGATGTAATAGAAGTCATCGATTAACAATTATTCTAATATACTTATTGTGAATAAAATAGATGTTTTTAAAAATGCTGAGAGATTTTTAACTAGAACCCATTCTGAAAGCAAGGTTTTAGCCACCATTACTTACATAAAAAGGTTGATGTAACCTTATATGAGATAATTCGGGCTCCTTTAATTATTAATTATGAACTAAGAGTCAAATAAGACTTGCAACATTCAAAAATTATCTTCATTGCAACAAAATATCCCACAGAATAATAAGGTGAACTAGTTAATTAATTGTTCATGACTATCAAAAACCACACATTTATCCAACCTTACTTTTCGTACGCTTCAGCTTGAAAAAACAATCTTAAAAGCTTCATAAAGATGCATTAACTTCTGAAAGAGTTCCTGAAAGTTGCATGTTGGTAAAACTTCAGAAAAGTAAACTAAAAAACTATCAACGAATTATTTTTGAAATGTACCATGATATGGTTTTTGAGAAAAAAAGATCCATTTGTCCTCAGTGAAGGTAACAGCCCTGAGATTTCCCATGATGCTCTGCTGCACGTTAAAACCTCATCCAGAGTCTCATTTGTTATGGATGGCATTAGCCTGTTCAAATCCAATTCTCATCCACCAACATACTACCTTTTATAGACGGAATATAAAAAGATAAAGGAGCTAATGCCTTTTTTGATTCATTATATAATGTTTTTCTGAGAGCAGACATGGGAAATTATAATAATAATAATGGAATAATTTAAATAAATTTACTTTAGTTAATGTGCTCTGCGTGGGCTGGCTAATCTGAAGGAAATGTTCCGTAAATCACAAAAACAGGGAGAATCCCAACTAAAAGCAAATCCTCTCGGACTCTCTCACCATCACTTTACTTAGGGTTAGACTAGAGCAGAAATAAATAAATAAGTCAAATAAAATAATGCACATTATCTGTCCTATACTACCAAAACGCCTAAACACAGAGATGTGCGTGAAGATTAGCATGTGATAATGCTGAGGAAACCCACATGAAGAATAGACTTAATAAAGTCACCGCTAACCTCTGCACATTATGCGCAATAGATCTTATAATGCAGCTCACACTAACCAACCAATAACTAGGATCAAACAATAACAGTATTCTTATGTATTTGCAATTGAGTTACAGTTTAATTTATGATTAAATATGAATTTGATAAATTGCAATAAATCAGAAATTCATTTATCATGGGTTTTCCATAATGAATCAATATTTTACACACCCAGTTTGTTAAACCCTTCTGCCATTAAAAATTATGGTAATATCCCTCATTTCTTTTGAGTCAGCATGTATAAACTGCACATACTGTATAGGCACTTTAATAGCAATTCTAATTTTTGGATTTTCATTCTAAAAATACGTAGAAATAAATGGAGCTGCTAAAATATCATGGTCTTTTAAATAGCAGTGCATCAGCGCATAACACTCATTTCAGGGACAATCTGGTATTTATAAAACAGATTCAATGGACTGTCCACTTTAACATATCTGCCTTACAACAAGAAAGAAAAGAATGTTTTGGTATTAGCAAGAGATTTGATGGTATGTCCACACTTTAACGTCTCCTTTACCTACCAATTTCATGCTTTACAACAAGAAAAAACAATGCTTTGGTATTAGCAATAACAATTATGAGGATTAGCTGTTCTTTGTTCTAAAATGAAAGGACAGTCAGTGATAAAGAGGATGATTACTGTCACTGTGTAAAATCCCCTTCGCATGCATCAGGAAGCCAGCCGGCAGAGCAAAGATCAGCGCTAAAGCAGCAATCATATGATCTCAATTTTAATCAGAAGTATAACAAAAACATATTTTTGCTTTATCATTGTAAAGAGCCCTTAACATAAGCCTGTCACTGTGTTACAGTGTTTATTCAATATTAAAAAGCGACAGGAGAGGAGCTTTTACTAGAAAAGCTGTTCCAATCATGTTTTGAGAGAAATAGCATTCAGAGCTTGTTAAAGACATTGTACAGTTCAGCTGACATTTACAGCAGTCGAACTTTTTTTTTGTGCTCATTTTCCCCAAATCTTTTGAAATAAATTTAACTGCCATTCAAAGTCAGTAAATTATAAATTATATCAAACAGCTCAAGTAGTACTCAAGCTCTAAATCTTACAGCCCTCTCCCAAAGTCTTCATTCTTTTGTTCAGCTGGCTTTGCCACCCTGTTGACGGAGCTCCGAACAGGAACTGTTTAATATCCGGATAATCTGGTCATTTCATTGTTTTGTCCTAACAGGGCATTATTACAGTAATGAGAGCGAAATCAAATCACTTAATGCGTTATGTAGTGGGACAGGCTCTCAGCAAGCCTGCCAAATCACTCTTCACATTTGCTTTTAATTTAAGCAATCCAGTAGAAGACTCATTAGTGGGTGAGAAGATTAACTCATAGAGATGTCTGCCTCCTGATGTCTTTCCTTTGACAATTTAATCCGTGTTAACTTGGATTTCTGGCCTGCAATGAGATAAGCCATATAACTAAGTGATATTCCATCAATAAGATACTCTTTATCATCGTCATGAAATTATATTTAAATATTGCTGACATTTCTAATGTGTGCCGCCGTGATAGAATCTGCTGAAGTACAGGCCTTTAGTCTATCAAATGATAATGCTTGTTTAATATGTTTAACTGTACAAAAATATCAAAAATGATTTCAATAGTGACTTCAGATTCAAGCATTCTTTTGAACAAAATGGATATACATTATAGATCACTGATGCATTCTTGTACTTTAAATTATTAGAGCAAGATACAAGCACACATTTCAAGAAAAATGTTTCACAAAATTAAGTTATTAACAATGCATAGATATTAATACAATGCAATACTTTATGGTACTATTGTAGCCTTCAAAAGTTTGGGGTCTGTAAGATTTTTTTTCTCTTAAGTCTCTTATGCTCACCAAAATAAAACTACTGTGAAATATTATTACAATTTAAAATAACCATTCTATTTAAATACACCTTAAAATCAAATAAAAAAATTTAAAATGTGATGGCCAATCTTTCAGCAGTCTGAAGTCTTCAGAAATCATATTTATATGCTGATTTGGTCCTCAAGAAACATTTGTTATTATCAATTTTTAAAACAGTTGTGCCGCTTAATATTTTTGTGGAAACTGTGAAACATTTTTCTCATTATTCTTTGATGAACAGAAAGTTTGATTACTAAAAAACAGCATTTTTTTAGTTACAATGTTACTTTCACTTAGGATCAATTTAATGCACCCTTCCTAAAAAAAAAAATACTTTTAACTGTAGTATGTCATAAAAATCACTGTACCCAGTGTGAGTATTTCAGTTTCTCCTGTTGTGAAGCCATATCTTCCACGGCCCATGTCATATTAGCAAAATTATAACCACAACAGAATGTCCTTCAAGAAAAAAAAAAAATCATAAATTGCCTGATCACCATCTCTCTATCCTGGCAGCTGCAGAAGACGCCGGCTGCCTGTCATCGAGCATATGTGCAAAATTAGCCACAGAGTGCCTGTCTTGCTCCAGGGAGGGAGACAGACGGGTCTCTAACGCTGCCATATCTGCATGCCCTACTGCATCCTCATGCCAACCCTGCAGACCGCACTATAGACATGCGTCTTCACCAGTGCCACAACTAGTGCTGCCTCCCTGGAAACATGAGGAGGAACCAGATTTATTCTCCAAACAGTCTTCTGATTCTTCTTAATATTTTGAGCTGTGGAAAAATAGCGCGTTGACACCCGATTAATTCTAAAGGTTTTGCCCGTATAGCCTATTTTTTTGCGTTTAACGCGATTAACAAGTTTTACATTAAATAAATTTTATTCTGCTTCATGTAAACGCTGGTTGGCGGAACTCTATCGATGTTTTTGGGTTCATAACGTTCACTGTAGTGACATATAAACATAACGCACCATATATAAACAACAGCGATTTCGGTCAGTGATTGCGTTACGGATGAAGGACATCTTAGCGGTAATAAAATACTTTTCAGTTTTTAAGAGACGAATAAAATTCCCCACAGAAGCACATTCTTTACGATTAACTCTGAGAATTGTGATTAATCGTGATTAAATATTTTAATTGACTGACATATTTGTGACATATATATATATATATATATATATATTGCTTAATCATATATTTAGCCTACATATATAATCAGATTTTAGTTTTTAATTTTCAATAATCATTTCCAATGATTAAGACCCCACTGGGTATAGAGCGATATTTCCTAATTGTCGTGTTTTCTCCCAGTTTAATAAATCATTCTTTTCTGCAGAGTTCATTTGACCTTAATTTTGCTATAATTGAACCTTTGTTTATATGTGACCACACAAGTTTAACCCTTTATTATACAAATTAGTTAAAAAATACAAACAAACAAACAAATAAATAAATAAATGTGGTTTGAAGTGTAAAGAATAAGCAGTGTCTTAAGTTTCACTTAAAGTTGTGTTTGTTTACCACATACTGAACTTTTGATCTCAAATGAGAGGACAGGATAATTCATTTGTCATCTGTGAATCAATGTTTGCATTTTTTTAAACCGATTTTCTTCTTATTTTCCTTTTCCTCCTTTTTTTCAATCTGTTCTTAGCCTCATTTGGCCTAATCCTGCTGCCGCAGAGGGTGGATGGTGGTTGGTGGTAAAGCAGGGTGAGAGGGACTCAAAGGACCATGAGGACAGGCACTCTCCCTTGCTTATGGTGGATTATGAGTAATGGCACTTAGCTGAGAAAATGAGCTGAATGTATAGTATGCCCTCATACATATGGGTTGTGGTTGGTTTAAATGCAAGAATTCACTTGCAACACACCTATTTATTTTTTTCTGTGTATTTTACGCAAAATGGTCAGATGTTAGTTTAATGCCGTATTTACTATTCAGATTTTTTTTTTTTTAAACTGTCATCACTCCAAGCCTCTTCCTTTTATATTCATTGTTAATTTCCATATAATATATCCATTGTTTTTCATATATTTGTTCTTAAAAGGCACCTTAAGTGAATTTTGAGGCTCTTAATCCAAAGGCAATAGTAGTTATCTTGTCATTCTTGAAGAAAATATGCTTTTATATATTTTTTAATATAGTCTTTAGGGCTTACAGTATGAGGATGAGGCGGATGGGATGGCCTTGGGGAAATGGAAGCCTGTGCACTCATGGAGCTCCACTTCTGCATCCCTGTGACAGATTGGAGCCAGATTGGGAGATGTTCTGACAAGGGCTAGGAACTTGCAAGGCTGTCCCACTCCTCAAGGTTAGTTATTGAATGTTACACATGACATCTGCCACTCAGCACCAAACGCCACAGGGTTTAGGGCACTTCATCAAGCGCCATGTTTCCCTAATTAATGGAGTTAATGTGTATTTTCTTTTAATTCCATAAGATTTATTGTATCTTGCAACCCTCAGACAGGTGATTTTATATAATTATTTAGAAAATATATTATCTCTTTATATAAATATAAATGTGAAAATATATTTCTTAACCCTCCACATGAGAATTAAATACTTACATTGTGACCTAACCGTTAAAGACAGTTTTCTTTCTGTCATTAACATGGTGGATGTTGAATTATAATGTTGAACTATAATCATCGTTGTGAGAAAAGATACTTGGAATTTGGAAATATAAATTGGTAATCTATGTGCAAGATTGCTCTTTCCTTTCCCCTCCACCCAGATATGAACCATATGCCTCATAACATATGTGATTATTTTTAAGATGGACATAAAAAAGGTCAATAGTCTCTCCACTTTTAATAATCCCTTCGTCCGATTTAATATTGCAACTATTATTCAAATCAAAGGCAGATTTTGTGTTCATTGTTCTTTTATAATACTCTTATGATTTCTCCCTATCACTTTCAGAAAAGTCCTCTGCCAGTTAAAGCTAAACCCCTCCTCTCCTTCCATTGAGGACAGGGGGTGCATTGGGTCGAATTAATTTCAGCATTTCCAAATTTCTAATATGGCGAAAGTGTACACGTGTTATTTCAATCTACATCTGTTTCTACATCTTTAGTTCATCTGATCTTGTGTTGCAAAATTTAAAGCCACACCAATACTTTGTTCGCTTCCAGTTTGTGCCTCTAAAATATGAGGTTACTGTGACCCATGAGAAGCGAACAGGATTATTTCATTTGAAAAATGCAGCTGGCACCACTAAGGTCATGGGTTTGATTTCCAGGAAACATAAACTGGTAAAATATGTATAACTTTGCATAAAGGCACTGTTCAGAGGTTTGAGTTCCATATGGTTTTAAGTTTTTGAACAAAGAAATGCAAAGAAATGGATTTGATCAAAAAGTATAGTAAAACAAAAATATTGTGAAATAGCATTTCAATGTAAAATAATTGTTTTCTGTTTGAATAATTTATTCCTGCGATGGCAAACCTGAATTTTCAGCATCGGTCTTCAGTGTCGCATGATCCTTCAGAAATCATTCTAATATGCTGATCTGATGCTTAAGCAACATTTCTTATTATTACCAATTTTAAAAACAGGTGTGCTGCTTAATATTTTTATGGAAAGCGTGATACATATTTTTTCAGGATTCTCTGATAAATAGAAAGTTCAAAATAACAGCACTTACTTGAAATAGAAATCTTTTGTAACATTATAAATGTTTTTACTGACACATTGGAACAATATAATCTGTCCTTGCTGAATAAAATATTTAATTTATTTAATATTTTATTAAAAGCCTTACTGACCCCAAACTTTTGAACAATAGTGTATGAATGAAAGATTTGTCATCACTTAGATACAGAGGTACGGATAAGTAAGGAATAATGTGCAGTCAGTGAAAACAAAAATAAAATTGATTTGAATTGATATCATTTTCCTATGTGGCACAAGAGCACAGAAATCATTTGCCTGGGTCGTGGTCATTATATGAAAATATCCAGCTGCAGAATTCCACAATTGAACAATCAGAATCAGAATCTGAATTTAGGTAAAGTGTGCATTGGCTCTTTTTCTCCTTGGACAGTGATGGTTGGTTGTCTGGACAGAACAATGTGTCACTTATCACGGCCTCATAATGAGCCCCCATCTTTTAATTGACCTGATTCCTGCTAATTAGCACACTTTAAGGAGGTGGGGAGAATAAAAGAGAAAGAAAGAGAGAGCAAGACAGGAGTGAGGGGGAAAGGAAAGGAGTGGGAGAAAGAATAAGAGAGTGATCACTGTCTAATAGGTTAAATGAGTCAGACAGGTCTGTGATGGCGTGTGAATAGTGTCTTTGTTAGCTAAGCTAACTGAACAAGACACACAAAGGTCATTAGTGGACATGCTTACTCATTACACAAACACAGCACTCAACTGGTGGTTAGGGGCATCGTGGTTCCTACTGTTAACCTTTATCTTTTCTCTTCTTCTGTCTGACCCTCTTGCTTATCCTCCCCCAATAGTTTTTTTAGTTTTTGTTTTTTGTCTGAAATTATGAGTCAAGTGTCTGGTAACTAGTAAACAGTAGCTAATGGCAGTGATGTAACTAAACTACATTTATTTTTATCTTTTCCAAAAACAAGCTACTGTTTTATTGCATGTGTAGCTTTACAGTGTGTACACTATCATTCAAATTTTTGGGGTCAGTATTTTTTAAGAAAATGAATACTTTTATTAAGCACGGATGCATTAAATTTATCAAAAGTGACAATAAAGACATTTATAGTGTTACAAAAGATTTCTGTTTCAAATAAATGACTTTCTGTTCGTCAGAAAATCCTGAAAAAAGCACAATTTCCACAAAACATATTAAATAGCACAACTGTTTTCAACATTGATAATAAGAAATGTTTCTTGAGCACCAAATCAGCATATTAGAATGATTTCCGAAGGATCATGTGACACTGAAGACTGGAGTAATGGCTGCTGAAAATTCAGCTTTGCCATCATAGTAATAAATGGCATTTTAAATATATATAAAATAGAAAGCAGTTATTTTAAACTAATAATATTTCACAATAGTACTGTTTTCACTGTATTTTTATTGAATAAATGCATGTTTGCTGAGCATAAGAGCTGTCAAAAACATTTAAAAATCTTTCTGACCCCAGAGGCACAGGCAGTAAAATACAGACATACTGTAGTGTCAAAACTTATTTGGTTAATATGAATATTTGCAGAAAGAAACTTTCCATTATTGAATGTGTGCATTAATTATATCAGGGTCACAAAGCTTTGCTGATCAAGTGTGACCCAAGCTGTGCAGTTTTAGCGAAAGTGTTTAGCGAAAGTGCAGAGGATTAAGACTATCAAAACTAAGTCTGACTTATGATGTTTTCATATGTTGCAATATAAAAAAAATAAAAAGTATATATTTGTTATATATTGATAATACTATATATTTAAAAGTAGATATTTAAAAAAAAAATTGTGTAAATATGAAAATACTTCTTTAAAATATTTTCTTTTTGGAACGACACGAGGGTATTTAAATGATGACTGAATAATCTTGAACTAACCCTTTAAATTTCAAAACTAGCATCTTGCCAGAATCTAGCTTTGTTCGGATGGCACGTGGCTTATTTGCATATAAATGCAAAGGAAGGCTAATAGAGGTTTAACAATATTTATAAAATGCCTTTGACCCTGTGCATCCCCTAGTAATCTGTAATCCTAAACTGTTACGCATAACGGCGAGTGCAGTTACATTGTTTATGCTTTTGACAGATTTGTAACGTGTCTTGCGCGCTGCGTGGCGTGGCCTCACTTCAGACGTGAGATTACCACAAGACTATAAAGCTCTAAGAAGACCAAAAAACCCCAGACTTACAGACATCAGAGATCATTAGTGGTCTTGACTAATTTACAAAACTTTAATCCCACGACTACCCATCGTTTACATCACTGAATTAGGTTAATCTACAAGGAGGACTATTTGCATAAATGTGCATTTTTGAATAATTAGTGGGCCAGAGGCGCTGAATGGGGTGTGATTGGAGGGGGTAACGCGTGGCCAGACTATTGTTGCCCCCTTATCTAGCATAAACAATGGACCAGCTAAACAATTAAAAACAAACTCAGTTGGGTCTGGTGTTTATAGGGCATTGTTGAAGATGACCCAGGACATAATCACTGTCTGGATACAGAATTATAGCAATTACTGCTATCATTTACAATGTGCCACGTAAACACTCAAGATTCAAATTATGAAACAATTCCTTTCCCATCTGCCAAACTGCCTTGTCTTTAAACAATTAAAGCTTTTGTTGATTCTGTTGAAGGATATTTTAATAAATTTTATTCGAAATCATCTTGAATTGTCAACCCAATAATACAAATTCTGTCAACATTTATTCCAAATCCATAAGGCTTTTTCCTGCTGTGTAATATAAAAGAAAATATTTTGAAGAATATTTTGATTGAATTTTTGTTGGTAACCAAACAGTTTCTGCTCCCACTGATGTCCATTTTTTGTTTTGTCCATACAATAGAAGTCAACGGGAACCACATTTTTGGTTATCAACATTCTTAAAAATATATTTTTGCTCAACAGATGAAGGAAAGTCATACAGGTTTGGAACAGCCAAATTGCCTTGTCTTTAAACAATTAAAGCTTTTGTTGATTCTGTTGAAGGATATTTTAATAAATTTTATTCGAAATCATCTTGAATTGTCAACCCAATAATAAAAATTCTGTCAACATTTATTCCAAATCCATAAGGCTTTTTCCTGCTGTGTAATATAAAAGAAGATATTTTGAAGAATATTTTGATTGAATTTTTGTTGGTAACCAAACAGTTTCTGCTCCCACTGATGTCCATTTTTTGTTTTGTCCATACAATAGAAGTCAATGGGAACCACATTTTTGGTTATCAACATTCTTAAAAATATATTTTTGCTCAACAGATGAAGGAAAGTCATACAGGTTTGGAACAAAATGAGGGTGAGTAAATGATGACAGAATTTAAATTTTTGGTGAACTATCCCATTTAGTTTAGTTTATTCACCCTCATGTTGTTCCAAACCTGTATATATTTCTTTCTTCTGTGGAAGACAAACTAAAAAGACACTCAAAGGTCTATGACCCTATTGGTAACACTTTAGTTTAGGGACCAATTCTCACTATTAACTAGTTGTTTATTAGCATGCATATAGCATATTGGCTGTTTATTAGTACTTATAAAGCACATATTAATGCCTTATTCTGCACGA